CTTTAAAAATGATTTTTACTAAAAAGTGGCCATTTTTGAAGATGCAGGTGAGCGACACAGGCTCTTCAGAGCCTCTAGTTTATATGATTTCTTCTGCCACTTAGTCCATTCACCTATATATGAAAATGGAGGACTGAGATTACTGTATTATACATCAGATCTCCTTTAATTTCATTCATAGAAGTTACAGATACCACATTCCCACCCTATTTTTAGATGAAACTAAGTCTAATTTTGTGGTCGTATATTGGTATGACGTTGACGTTGTCGTCATCCGAAGACACATTGGTTTTCGCACTCTAACTTTAGTTTAAGTGAATGGATCTTTATGAAATTTTACCATAAGGTTCAATACCACAAAAGGAAGGTTGGGATTGATTTTGGGGGTTATCGTACCAACAGTTAAGGAATTAGGGGCCAAAAATAAGCATTTTTGTAACTTCCAGACATAACTTGTGTGTAAGTGTATGGATCTCTCTGACATTGTACCACAGGGTTCCATATCACAAAGGGAATGCTGGGATTGATTTTGGGGGTAATTGCCTCAAAATTTTGGGAATTAGGGGCCAAAAAAAGGGAAAAAAAACAAGCATTTTTCTAGTTTCATGACAATAACTTGTGTGTAAGTGTATGGATCTTTCTGAAATTGTACTACAAGGTTCCATATCTTTAAGGAAAAGCTTGAATTGAGTTTGGGGGTAATTGCCCAAAACGTTTAGGAATAAGGGGCCGAAAATAAGCATTTTTCTAGTTTCCAGACAATAACTTGTGTTTAAGTGTATGGATCTTTATGAAATTGTACTACAAGGTTCCATATCACAAAGGGAAAGCTGGAATTGAGTTTAGGGGTAATTGCCCAAAACTTTTAGGAATAAGGGGCCGAAAAGGGGCCAAAAATAAGAATTTTTCTAGTTTCCAGACAATAACGTGTGTTTAAGTGTATAGATCTTTATGAAATTGTACTACAAGGTTCCATATCACAAAGGGAATGCTGGGATTGATTTTGGGGATAATTGCCTCAAAATTTGAGGAATTAGGGGCCAAAAAAGGGGCAAAAAACAAGCATTTTTCAAGTTTCATGACAATAACTTGTGTTCAAGTGTATGGATCTCTCTGAAATTGTACTTCACAGTATCATACCACAAGGGAAGGCTGGGATTGATTTTGGGGGTAATTGCCTCAAAATTGTAGGAATTAGGGGCCAAAAAGGGGCAAAACACAAGCATTTTTCTAGTTTCAAAACAATAACTTGTGTATAAGTGTATGGATCTTTATGAAATTGTACTACAAGGTTCCATATCACAAAGGGAAAGCTGGGTTTGAGTTTGGGGGTAATTGTCCTAAACGTTTAGGAATTTGGGGCCAACAAACAAGCATTTTTCTAGTTTCCAGACAATAACTTGTGTTCAAGTGTATGGATCTCTCTGAAATTGTACTGCAAGGTACCATACCATAAAGGGAAGGCTTAGATTGAGTTTGGGGGTGATGAATCATAAGGGGGTTCAAAAAATTTGGGGGGGGGGATTTTTTTTTCCTTTTTTTTTCTTTAAAATTTTCCATTTTAAATTGGTTATTTCTGATTTATATATAAAAGCAAAAAATAATAATGATATGGTTTGAATAGGTAAATTAAAAATTTGTAAGTTCTTAGACCACATTCATTCTGTGTCAGAAACCTATGCTGTGTCAAATATTGAATTACAATCCAAATTCAGTGCTGTATCAAGCTTGAATGTTGTGTCCATACTTGCCCCAACTGTTCAGGGTTCGACATCTGCGGTCGTATCAAGCTGCGCCCCAGCGGAGCATTTTATTAAATATAATAAGATACTACCATAGTTTTGGGCAAAAAACTATAAATCAGTGCTAGTAATACAAAACATGAAAGATATTAAAACAAACAACTGGATTCAGATAATTTTTCTGTGAGTTCTCAATACACCTTCGTTAATTTGATGTATACAAACAGTACTCAACATATCATCATGCTTTACTCCTTGATTAATTGAAATGGTTGTGAATATACCACTATAAAGTGATACTGACCATTTGTTGTTCCAATTCTGTGTGATGGCTGCTCAGCCCATAATATAGGTGGAAATCGTTCCTGTACATGCATGTGTCAGATGAAAACGTAAACAATTCAAAAGGGATGATGGATATAAATTCTTGTATCAACCATGACTCTTTTTTCATAAGTCAACATGAACAGCCGTTGGTTTAAAAATCAAAGTTAGATCTTCACTAATTAAATCAAAATTTAAACAGCAAATGTCCATATTACAGGTAAACAAAAAGCGCAAACGTCATGTGCCCATCAAAGAATATCCCCCTCGTGTCTGGTGCAGAAATGCAAGAATTAGAACCACTCAAGTTAAGTTTCGTTACCGGCGACAAAAATAACCAAAGACAAATCTAAAGGGCAATATACAGTTCTCAAGCAGACGGGTGTCTATACAATATGCCAAGCTTTACGTCGTCCCGATTCCAAAAGAAAATAAAACAGTGACTGATAAATTAAACAGAAACAATCAAAGATCTGTCATCAATACCAATTCTCTAAATAACGAAAACATAAAGCTATGACATTAGTCAGCCATGACGAGGTGGAACATGAAATACCTCATTTACAAGGTGTTATGTTTAGTATTCGTTGTTCTTGTTCAGCAAAGTTTACTTAACCTTATTTCAGTTGAATTTGTTTTTAGTAAAATACATATAACTGATAACGATTATCTTTTGAGATGAATAGTTACATCACTATCGCATACATCGGAAAAGATGGAGATCTTCCATGACAGTCGTGTGATCCGAAATAAGACATTGTTTATAATAGGAACTAGCGTTCTTTGTGTCGTTTTAGCATTGTCAATAGCAGTAGGTGTCTTGGCTAATAAATCTACAGAAATAGTGTACAAAGAGCCAGAGAGAACAGAAACGGCTCCTTCTGGACGACAAAGGTCTACCCAGCTAACATCGTGTCAGAAGTGTACCAAAAACGCAAAAGCACAAAATCCGAATTTAGAATATGCCAAATGTATATTGGATCATTATCCACTTGTAGATGGGTAAGTTTTTGTTAATAATCAAATCCTGTGACGGGGATTGTGTTCTCTCTTTAAAGGGGAAGACTCTGAAGTGACCACGAGCCCCAGAAAAAAACGAATAATTTGTGCGTAGAAACGGATGTTAAACGTCTTTATTCTAGTTTATTTTGCTTATTTTTTTTGCGTGCGTGTGTATGCTGTTCTCATATTTTTGGGTTAACCATAAACCTTTCTATGATATTGATTGGTCTCGTTCGTATAAAACCAGTCATTTTCTTATTCCCTTTTTAATGAAGTTATCATGGTCTTATCTTTAAAGGAAATTTGTTGAAGACACTCTTATTTGAATGTGGACTTGATCGGAATTGTGACATTACTACATTTGTATAACTCTTTACTATTGTTGGACAAATCACTCTTTGTTGACGATATGTATGGATATTTTTATTTTCGTTTCTTTCTGTGTGTATGGCAATGTCGCCCGTATGTTTCATGTAGAATTGAATTTAATGTAAAAAGTTGTAAAATAATTTTTTTTTCTGTATTTAGTTTATGAAAATGTTTACTGACTTGTTTTCGTTTATCTTTAATGTTGATAATCCAAAGTGTTGTTTGAAGACGATTCTTCTAATCATTATAGGATTATCAAGCGCGAAACATATTTTACATAAAGTTATTGTCTTCAGGGCTCCAATTACCATATCTTTCAAAATTCACACTAAAGGAAATGTCTTCATGGCTCGTATTAATAAATCCTTGTTAATTTTGTGGAGATGCGGGATGTAAAAAATAAGCTGACACGTCTGGTCGATTCACTTGGCAGAACTTACCCTTTTGCGTTCATTGCTAATGTGCTCACTGGACATTAATCAAACAACAATCAATCGATCAAGCTCTTAATATTCAACTTATTGCACAGTGATAATTTCCAACATCAATAATGTCATACAAATAGACCGGAAATACGAAAAACTAATTCAAATAACTATGAATAAAAAAAAAAATACACAGCTAATCGAATCCTTGTACTCAAGATAAGCTCCTTTGATATTTTCACAAGTTTCAGTATTCTATTGTTTGAAACGATTTCAACATCCGTATAGGATAACTATGATACTAATTAGAAAGTGATTTAATTTTGTTTTCATGGTCAATGCATAGACTTTTTACAGGTCACACTCCTAATGTTGCCTAAATTGTCCCCCCCCCCTTTCATAATCCTGGATTCTCATCTTGCTTTTATTTTGAACCGTTTAAATTTACCTAGACGACGCAAGTATCATAAACTCATTTGCAGCTATATTCTCTTATAAACATAACTGAGGTTAAAATTTTAATGATGTTATTTGATAATTATATATTTGTTTCTTCAAGCCATAATGATCTGTCGTACGAGTTTTACACGAATGTTGATAACAAGGTGTACTCGGTTGATTTTAGTCAAGATCTGAGGAAGCAATATCATGCAAATCAAACAACTTATACATGTACTGACATACCTCGTCTCCGAGAAGGAAAATTATCTGCACAGGTAACTTATACAGTAGCTATACGAAGCAAAAATTTATCTATACATAATTTAAATGATAAGTTTTATATAGACAAAAATATCAAATCATAAGTCTGGTATCTTTTTACAAACACTTGGTTGATCCCATTTTCCCGAATGTATCACCAGCCCAGCAGTCAGCACTTATGTGTTGACATGAAATTTTATTGATACGTCCATTTTCTTTAAATTTACTTTTTATAAGAGGTTGAATTATTGGAAACAAAAGGTTTGGCACAACTTTTCGGAATTTTTTTTTTCATATTCTTCAACTTCGTATTTCATTGGCTAACAACAACTGTTTCTTATATGTATACGAAACACGTGCCTAGCCGAAACATGCGTTTTGAGTATCAAGTTATAAGCCTAGTATCTTTTTGTGAGTTTTTAAAACCACTGGACCGATGCCACTGCTAGTGGACGTTCCGTCCCTGAAGGTATCAGCCTAGTATAGTCAACACTTTTGTGTTGACATGAAATATAATTGATATGTTGCTATTCTTTAAATACTGTTAATAAAATGTTAAATTATTGGAAACAGTATTTTCTACTTCAGGCACATATTGCCTTAGTCGTATTTGGCCCAGCTTTTCGGAATTTTCGGTTATTAATGCTCTACAAGTTTGATTCATCCTTCCATTGTTTTATTTCGAGTGCTACCGAGGAGTCTTATTTAGTCGAAACGTGCGTCTGGGGTAATAAATTACTATCCTGGTATCTTTGATGAGCTAATTTTAAAGTAAAAGTAAAAAGAAAATAAAACACAAATGTTATGCTTCGGAAGCAATTTTTCAGAATTAATATGCATAAGGAACACAGCCAAACTATTAGCTAAGGATGGAAAAAGGTATCAAATATTCCGGAGAATTCCTTTTAATGTTATCCCAAAATTCGCTCTCGGGAGATTATTTTTCTGTAAATCTATAAATTATTCATAATTTCTGCAACTGAATTGTCCAGCAAAAATATATGCTTCTCTTACACCACTGTTTAACGACAAAAGAAATAATTGAAAGCGTGCACTGTATATTGAAGTATGTATATTCCAAGTTAATATGATACGAATGATTAACAACTTGAGTAGTTGTTATATGCGTTTGTTTTTTTCGTTTTTAGTTCTGGTCTATATTCGTCTCTTGTACAACACAACATCATAGTGCAGTTCAAAGAGCATTGGAACAAATCGATGTTATAAAGAAACTAAACAATAAATATCCGAGCTTCCTTAAATTTGTCACTTCTGCTGATGGTAAGAAAACGTAAACACTTCTTTTTTGCATTTATTCTTTGTTTGTTTGTAGTGTACTTTAAGGTCTAAAATAGTACAGCTTATTTAAAAAAAACATATATGACCAAAATATAACTGCAAACAAAAAATCGGCTCTAAACAAGCAATTTTGATTGATTTCACTATTTTTAGTTTGTATATAAAAATATCAAAACTATGTATGGACTTTCTTCACAAAAACCAAAGTTCAACTTGAAATAAGCCCATGTGTTTTCTGGCTGATGCATAAATTCATTTTGGCTGGCGATGTCCTTCGATGCAACAGTTTACAAAAATGTAAATAAAGTTTGCAGTGCTAAATGAAAGGAAATCTTCAAATGCAATGCGTTGCGGAAATATGTAAATTTGTAAACATTTAATGTATTTTCTATGAGTGTAATATCATTATTATCGTTAATAGTATTATAATTATTACTATTATTCTTAGACGTTCGAATGCTCAAATTCCAATATGTTTTAACAACTTTCTGATTTCGAAATTATTTGTGAACCATACACAGGGAAACTTGATAAGTTGGAAAACGTAATTTAACAGAAATAAGCGTAGTTGAAATTTAAATATAATACGATTATTTTTTATTCAACAAAGGAATACAGAGAACCTTCGATGAAGGGAAGTTTTCCAGTTTGATGGGACTGGAGGGCGGTCATGCTATAAATAGCAGTCTTGCAACACTAAGGATGTTCTATGACTTGGGTATACGATATATGACTCTTACTCATAACTGTAATCCACCTTGGTAAGGTTTTTGTGTCTGTAATATTTAACTACAGATAATATATTAAAAAGCTGTTTCATGTAGAATTGTTGAGATGCTTGAAATATTCAAACTTCAAACTCAAAGTTAATTTCATCAACCAGTAAAGTTGAGAACGTTTACTAAATCCGCTTTCGGATTTTATCGTAAGAATGCAAAGTTGTTTACTTGTATGGAAGTATACATGGCTCTCGGAACACACAATATCATTACAGTTTTTTTGCAGAGGGGCGTCCATTTAAATGGGATACATAAAACACAGCTACGTCAATTTCGCGCTCTCTGAACACGCAATGTCATTAAAGCTACTCTTGCCGGGGGGAGTCCATTTGACCAAGATGCTACGTCAATTTCGCGTTTTCTTAACACACAATGCCATTACATCCTCTCTTGCTGAGGCCGGGTCCTCCATTTGGCCGGGATACATAAACACACGGCAAGGTCAATTTAGCTACTTGCGATTATGCAGCCACGTTCCAGTGGGTACATTGATTCGATGATTAATTAAATATTATCATACAAGGAAATGTTTCGTACGCTGTAAACCGGGTACGTTCAGAAGTGTCTATCCCAACTCGGGTCTTTGACAAACAACAGCCAAGTGTTCCCATCATCGTTAAAGAGACTCACTGAAACTACCCATGGACAAGGATTAAGAATCTTCCTTCAAGTTTTGTTTAGTTTCATTCTTACTCCATGTTAAATGAAAATAAACGGTGTTAGTTTTTTTGGATAACACTATCGTTATTCAGTATTATCTTGTGGGAAATGTGTCCTTGATAAAATATGCAATCGTTTACAGTTTAAAAATACAATTACCCTATATAGTTATTGAAAGTAATGAAAGTCATATTTTGAAGAAGTTTTTGAAACCCACAGGCAATGTATCAGTATAGATTAAACTTTGTACATTCTTATCAATATAAGAAAATATAATTTTCTTTTCAATATTTTATCAACCAAAAATATTTTTCCGTATAGAAATGGTAACATACTAGTTCAAACACATATATGCGTATTTTTATCAGAATGATTTAATCGTCAGTAGTTTCGACATATTCTTCGCTTGAATGTAAGTTATTAGATTGATCAATCATAGGGCGAAATGTTCTGGATTTTGGTATTTATTACTTACAAATGAGTATAAGTACATGGTAAAATTGAGAATGGAAATGGGGAATATGTCGAAGAGACAACAACCCGATCAAAGAGCAGACAACAGCCGAAGGCCACCAATGGGTCTTCAACGCAGCGAGAAAATCCCGCACCCGGAGGTGGTCCTCAGCTGTCCCCTAAATAAATAAAATTGTGTACTAGTTCAGTGCAAAAGGAAAATTTTTTTGCGGTTGTATAACAAAGGACTACTAGCAGTTACTGACATGCCAGCTCCAGACATCAATTAAACTGATTGAAAGATTATGTCTTCATCATATGAAAATAAAGTACAATCCCTCCCGTTAGGGGTTTAGTATCATACCATCATAAAATATATGAGAAGAACATAACCCGTATCATGCCAACAACTGGTTTTAGAATAAATGTGTTTATTTCCGATGCAAAGACCCTATGAGTGAATCAATATTAATACCAAAATATGCAATCCTTAATGACCTGACAACAGTATATCGTAACTATATCCTTTCCGAACAAGTCTGTTTAAAGGTTTAGTTAGCTTTTGAGGTGAATGCCGACATTTTTGTGCTTTGTAAAGAATATGGTAACTTCTTCTTGATAGTATGCTTAGTTTTGATGCTTTGTATTATCATCTAAGTATTAACCAAAATTTGGTAATGTTTGGAAAACTAAGGCATTGCTTCTGTAAGTCATACAGATTATAACTGCAATGCAACAGACCAAAATAAAGCTTTACCAACGTTACTGCATAGTGGACTTGTTTCTTGAGGTTACTCGTTTCTGTTGAAGTTTATTTTCTGCAATACAATTGATTTTAGGGCAGACAGTCATATAGTAGACAGAAACTCGTCTTTACCAAAGCACAATGGATTAACCAAATTTGGAAAGGTACGTACAGTTTGAAATTAGAGTATTGTTTGAAAATTCGTCTACAACAGTGGATAATTTGCTGTTGTTGTGAGCTTTACGATGCATAACGAATTCGTTTATAATTCCATTTACGAAGTTCGATTTTGTAATATATTTTTTTTTAATTATTAGTCCAAAGGATTATGTGAATTATTGCATAATTCTGCGTTAGTCATTTGTACGTTGTTTGTATGGATACGTTTTCGAAGATCTGCAAAAGCCATGATAATTCTTGCGTTTTGTTGAGTAATTCTCTCATCCGATGTTCCCTATTTGACCGAAAAAAAAACTTAGTTATTGTTACTTGATCAGAGCATGGAGTAAAAAAATCTAGCACATGACCATTTTAATTTGGATTAAAGAAAATTATACTTTCCTAAAATGTAAGAGCTACAACCATTATTGATAGAATCTTTTTCATAACAGCGTAGACAACCGTAAAACTTTTGTTGGTAATAATACTGAATAAATTACCTTTAACTTGTTTGTCATTGGCTATCGATAATAATGATTTTACGCTCACTCAGTCTGTCAGAGGCCTTCCAGTGGGGCTTTAAATAATGATCACTTGTTATACATTTCGATACATAAAATGAAACTTTCTTTTCACAAAACTTTAAAAGATTTGTTTTAAATAATTTTAATAATATTGATAAATTTTGACTGTTGACCGCATTTTAAAAATTAATTTTCTTGTTGTAATCCTGTTGGAAGCTGCGCTGTGTAGTTTATTTTTCTTTTATTGTATATTTCCAAATATAATCAAGACAGACAAAAAAAGTTTGAAAGGTTACATCCCGCACCCGAAGGCGCACTTGAGCTGGCCCTTTAACAAAAATGTGTACTAGTTCAGTGAAAATGGACGTCACACTGAACTCCTAAACAAATAAATGAACTAAAATTAAAAAACATACAAAATGAAGACTAACAAAGGCCAGAGGCTCCTGCCTTGGGACAGGAGCAAAAAATGCGGCGGGGTTAAACATGTTTAGTGAGATCTCAACCCTCCCCTTTTCCTCTAGCCTATGTAGATTAAACAAACACACAGCAATACACCGCTACATATTGTGCCAAAGTCGGGCTTGGGAGGGTGCATGTTATACTGATTTAACCCACTGGATTGTGCGCCTGCACCAAGTCTAGCCAGGGAGGGATTGCATGTTAAACTGGATTAGCCCCACTAAATTTGAGCCAAACGTCCGGCTATCCGGGTTTTGTGTTGTTCATTGTTGATTAAACGTCTATTTTACTATTTATGGACAGGACTCGATGGTCTTTGTTGTTGTGGTCTCTTAATTTTCCTACCTTTTATCTTTTTATGTATTATTGTCGTATAACAGATCTAAAGCCGTTTTATTACGAAACTATCTGCAATATATTTAATAGTCCTAAACATGCATGACAAATTTGACACTAGACGTTGTACGCAAACAAAAATCAATACACCAATGTATCTAAAGTCACAATTGATACAACTTTATATAAAAATAAGGAGATGTGGTATGATTGCTAATAAGACAACTATCCACCAAAGTTCAAATGAAGTGGATGTAAGCAATTATAGGCAACCGTACGGCCTTCAACAATGTGAAAAACCCATACCGTATAGTCGGCTACAACAGTCCCCGACATGAAAAATATGAAACAATTCAATTGAGAAAACCAACGGCCTAATCTACAACAAAACAATTAACGAAAAACAAATGTTCTGCTCTTTGGTTGGGTTGTTGTCTCTTTGATACATTCCCCGTTTCCATTCTCAATTTTATTATAGATATAACTGCATATAAAAATAAGAATATGTGGTGTGATAGACAATCAGACAAATCCCTTCCAGCGGTCAACAGACGTTAGCAATATAGGTCACCGTACGACCTTCAACAATAAGCAAAACACACACTGTATAGCATGAAAGCTTCAAATGGCCTTGTCATGACAAACACGAAAGATGAGTGGATGCAGAACAGAGCGAGTGAAAAAACATGGATACCGCATGGAAACTGGCAAATGGTCCGCAATGTTACTTTGGTCAACTCACTAACTTGAAATTAAAGACCTGGCGAATTTAAGTCCTTATCTATGGCTGAGATGTATGTTTAAAAAAAAAAGGAAAATCAAGGTTTGTTTGGACATTTTTTTTTGCAAGTCTTGGTTTTAAATTATTTGCGAGTAAGCTTAAGGAGTCAATAACAAATAATCGCTCCCAGAAAGACGGGGAAAATCCATTAACAAAAGAAAAAATGAATATACAAACTACAGTGCACAGTATATTATATACATATTTTATTTGCGATCATAAAATGTACGATGTCGTCCATTACTATGTAAATTGGGTCGATTAAAAAAAAAGCTGAATATGTTTATGTTGCCAAGGGTTTTTCACAAGTATAGTAGTTAGCAGAAAAGTTCACCAAACTATACATTTTACCTATTCAAAAACGAAAATGCAAATTTCACAAGGCTTGATCCAAATAGCCTTTTTACTGTCCAATAACTTGCAAGTACGAAAAAGACAGGACAGAAGTATATTTTTTCTATATGTTTGGTGTTTGCACACTTTTAAAAGTTGATCATGCATTCGTTTTAAAATAAAATTTTGACCAGATAAAAGTTAAAAGATGACATAATTGGACAACCGCAATTGTTAAATCGCTTTGACGTCCGAAAAAAGATAATAATCAACACATGCATTGTAACTTTTAAAGCCAGTTAAATCCTTTTTTGCTGAAAGAACGTGCGATATCATAAAAATTGATTATCAAAACATAACAACAACACAAGTAAAGAACATTTAAGTATTCAATATAAATCAAAACACAAAGGTTATTCCTGATTAGTTTTGTTTTCGAACCATTTTATTTAGGCGTTGAGACCCTTTGGTGACCCCACAGGATAACAAATACGTCGTGAATAGTGGGCGTTACAGACGAACGTTCACCTAATCTGACCCAGTCAATGAAATATTTTAGCGCGCCAATCAATGGTCTCGTCTACGCTGTTATGCACATGATTCTATAATATTTTTTTTTAAATCTGCAAAAAACTGTTTCATGACAATTATGGTCAATGACCCGAATTGTCACGAAACGTGACTACAATCTTTAATTTATGTTGAAAGAAGATTTTACCAAATAACCAATTAAAAAATTAAAACAAGCATTCCACAAAACTTTGGAGATAACAGTTATATTTATACCTAAAACTTGAGGCACATAGATTAATAGATATTAATAAAGTAGATTAAGAATATTATGTGTGAAGTATAATTTTCGTTCGGATTTGTAATACTTACTGAAACAAATAACTGTTTAATAATTTGAATACAATAACATATATTTGTCGATACTGATTTATTTTTAGATCGTGGTGAAGGAAATGAACAGGTTAGGGATGTTAGTTGACTTGTCCCATGTTTCTAAGAAAACCATGAAGGATGCCATTACAGTGTCACGGGCTCCGGTTATCTTCAGTCACAGCTCCGCTTATAGTCTTTGTAATGCAACCAGAAATGTGCAGGATGACGTCCTTTCGCTAGTGGTCAGTAAGATTTGTCTATAACAATTACTTCTTGCAAGACTTTTTGTACAAAATGTTTTTATTTTTTTTTTTTTATTTTTTACTTTGTCTCAATATTTGAAAAAAAGATGTGTTTTATGATTAAATTTAGCCAAAAGAAAGAAGTTCTAGACATTGAATTGGTAAGTTCGACACTGCAAACCAACAACAACACACATAACAAAATGACCAACATGAAACAAATGTTAAGGTAATACATACTCTTTATAAAACAACAAAACATATTTTTGGATTTTCTGAAAATTAGGTGTTCTAAGCGATGCTTGCACACGTTAATCTAGAAAAGCAGTGGAAGCTTTCGTGTTTAGCTTCTGACTGCATGAAGTCTAGAGAAGAAAATGCGTGGCAGTTTAATGATACCTGTATCGAGTTTTATCTAATAGTTGAAATTTTACATTTTTTTTCCAGAAAGAAAATGGTGGAATAGTCATGGTTAACTTTTATCCCTATTTTGTAAGCTGTAAAGAAGTTGCCATTTTGTCCCAAGTTGTGGGTATGATTCAAATAGAATTTCGGCTTGTTTACTATTAAAGAATGAAAAATCATATAATAATGTACGTGAAAATATCTTGATTATTTGAAATGTAGAAAAAAAACCAATAAAAAGTAATAGAAAAATAACAAAGTGTTGCACATCTCACTTGATTCTTTCAATTTTAAAAACTGTTTATTGGTTTTTTAAGTGATAATAAAAACAAAAACAAAAATACTAGTTTAACGCCACTTTCAGCACTATTGGCTATATCGTGGCGGTCAATTTCTTTTGGTGGAGGAAGCCGGAGTGCCCGGAAAGAACCACCGACCGTCGGTAGGAGAACCGAAAATCATAGTCAATTTAGATCGGAGTCGAACGCACCTGCCACGTGCGGGGTTCGAACTCACAACCCAAGTGTTGACAGGCTAATGATACAGTAGATGAACTATTTTTTTTTAATTGTTTTTTATTAGACCACTCGGTCACCGAGGCCCCCGTGTAACAAACAAGGGTTACGGGTATGCTATTAGCAGTATCAATGAACATTATTTCAAAATCTATATATTAAACTGAAATAAGTTTAAGGAGAACATGGACAGTGCTGTCATGTCTGATTCCATCTTTACCATGTATATTTTCAGATCATATACAACACATAAAAAAGAACATTGGTGTCGATCATATTGGGATTGGTAGTGACTTTGATGGTATAGAAATGTATGTACGATTTTTTAAATGTTTACGACGTTAAACAATCATTAATCAATCAATCTTTTTCTGGTCCTCATATACTATTGTCTGGGCCATTTTTTTTTATCTTTCTACTTTAACTTATGATATTAGGCAGGTTGATGCAAAACCATAAGACGGCGTCTCGCATATCATCATGACCTTCATTTGACTTTAACCTTTGGCCAAGAGGTCAAAATGTTTGATTTTTGGAGTATTGTCTTGTCCAGAAAATGACCTTTTTATATCTTAATCAAGATTTTTTATATTGAACACAAGCGTGCAGCACTTCAAAACGATGTATGGCGTATCATTGAAAATGACCACTAGCTTTGACATTTGATCTTCAAGGCCAAACATTGTTTTTTTAAATGACCACTCAAACCATAAATATTCTTGCTAACCACGACAAGACCGCTTCAGTGCATCCAAGAGTGTGTCCCTGTGGCTCATGCCCTGCCCTCTCATATGAAATTCGTTGAATATCTAAAAAAGATGAGTCAGATCTTAACCGTTAACTATAAATATACTTAACTTTAGATTTTTTATTTTTTTTTAGATTTTAACGAACGTAATCAATGCATCACTGGTAAATTATTAAGTCAGGGATTTCGTTACCAAAAATTACTTAAAACTTTTTCTAAATTCTTTCATAGATACAAAGATTTGATTAGTAAATTTGGCTGTACCTGTAGAAAACTTATTAAAAATGGTATTTCACATCCTAAATTTTACGGTAATATTGTACTTAAAGCGCGGAAATCACTATGTGATCCGTGTAAACTCATCGAACCTTTAAACAAACTTATTAGTAAGGGTTGTCGTACCAATGTTGTAATTAGATCTCTGAATATAGTTTACATTGGCCCTAATATCGATTTTATCATTAGCAAATTAAAACATAACTAAATTTGTATTTTCTTTCAAACGGGATGTATAGAGACACACACACGTTCATTTTTATCTGTAAAGAAGTCACTCCTAACTATCCTACTACCTGTCGATACATTTATTTTTTGGCATTGGACAAGTCATGTCTTCTTTGACTGTTAATAAAGTTAAAATACTAAATCCCTGGGATGTGTTTTAGTTGATTTTAGTCTCTGATGCATGATTTTTTATTATTAATTGTTTTGGCTTTTAACTAGCTGTCAGTAACTGCGTGTACTCTCAAATTGTACTTTCTTGTTAATTTGACCTGTTGATACTATTGGTAATGCTTTTTTGTTATTTAATGTTAACATGGATCTTGTCTATATACCAGCTTTGATTATTTGGAATTACTACAAATTTTCACTTCTTCGTACTTTGAACATCAAAATTATTTCATTTCTCCTTAAATACTGTTCTTGCACATGTACAGGAAGTTTTAATCTAGCACTAATTGTATAGTTTTATTTTTGATATTCACCCCCATATGTACCAAGTGTAAGATTAGTTTTATTGATGGAAGATTTTATACACACAGAAGAAGTATACTTAACAACAAAATTATTTTCATTAAACTGTGTATAATATGACGCAGGTTTTTTCAAAAGTGATGATTTTCTAAAAATTGTTTAAAATTTCACAGTGGTATCATACTTTAACTTTGTTTAAACCTGTTTATTTACTTTTGACCTTAATTATTTATCCCTTATAATTTTTATTAACTATGTATTTGCATTCAGGTATCACAGATCAAATTTATTCGTTCATTGTGTGTAAATTTGCGTTTTTTGATTGAGTTAAGCCTTCCAATTGATATTTTATAGTGTGTCTTTCTATGTTGTGATATTATACTATTGTTTCAGAAAAGGAAAAAGGTTTGGTACCATTAAAACGTTTAATCCCGCTGCAAATGTGTGCACCTGTCCAAAGTCAGGAATCTGATGTACAGTAGTTGTCGTCTGTTTATGTAGTTCATACGTGTTTCTCGTTTCTCGTTTTTATATAGATTAGACCGTTGGTTTTCCCGTTTGAATGGTTTTACACTAGTAATTTTTGGGGCCCTTTATAGCTTGCTGTTCGGTTTTAGCCAAGGCTCCGTGTTGAAAGCCGTACCTTGACCTATAATGGTTTACTTTTATAAATTGTTACTTGGATGGAGAGTTGTCTCATTGGCACTCATACCACATCTTCCTATATATATTAACTGCCTTGATAGGATCCTTCTAGTTCAATCTAGTTGTTGTTACTCGAGGACATCTAATGCCCCTTCATATCATTCAAAATTATGAAATATTTAAAAAAAAAACTATCCATATCTCATCCCGTAAACCAAATAATAACCCTTTTATTGTTAATTATTATCGTAAGGTCCCAAATTAACTACGCACATTTTTAACGTTGGATTTAGTAGTAAAAGGGAAATACCCTTTAATATTCGAGGGCTATGGGAGGGGAGGAGGATTTTTGCGGACAGGATATTCAGTCTTAACCTGTTGCTAGACCGGCTTAATATTTCACATTTGTACACAATTATTTCCTGCATTTTGTGTGGCAAAATATACATTTTCGTCCTGTCTTGGGCAAGATATGTTTTCAGTTCTTACCAGGCCAGCATATTCATTTTCAAAATCCAAAACTATCAAGTATTATTTTGTTGGATCTTTACGGAGTTTTAACCAAAACTTCGATTTATAACATATTCAAAGGAACAAAGCTGCAATAAAAGGGGCACAGTTGGTTCCAAACGACTTGGCCCATTTTTCCAATGTTGGTCACACTCCTCATTAGGGTACCTAGCTTAAAAATGTGTCCGATGAACCAGCATGGCTAAAATAGAACATAGGAGCTAAATGCAAGTTTTGTCTATTATCTTGAAAAACGATAGATAGAGAACATCCCATAAGACAGAAATGTTAAGAATGTTGTGGACTACCTACTGTTTATTTACACCAAAACTGTCAGACGACTTATTATAGTAGTTATTGTTCTTAAATGACTGAATTTACCTTTTTTTTCCGTTTTTGCCTATTATCTTGAAAATTATAACAGATAGGGATAAATTTTATACATGTAGCAAAAAAATGATAACAAAGACAAAATCTACAAATGAGTCAACATGACCGAAATCGTCAGTCGACTTCTTATTGGAATTATTGCCCTTTAATGACAATTTTTACCAATGTTTTACCTTTTTGCCTAATTTGAAATATCTTGCAAACTATGATAGATAGAGCGAAACGTTAAATGCTAAAATGACCCACAAAGCACGATCGATAATTGATATTGCTGAAAGCTTTAGTCAACTCTTTATAAGAAGTGTTAGCGGCCCTTAAATGACATTTTTTACAATTTTTTTCTGCGTTTTTGACTATTATCTTGAAAACTATAATAAAGAGATGGAAAAAAATCAGCAAGACAAGATCCACAAATAAGTCAACATGGCAGAAATGGTCAGTCGACTTATAGGATTTATTGCCCATACATGACAATTACAAATTGTTTGTCTTATTGTCTACTTATTTGAAACTATAATCGATAGTTAATTAAAATGCAAAAATTATCAGTAATACAAGATCTGCAAATAGGTCAGCGTTGATGAAATTGTTAGTTTTCTCTTGTAGGAGTTAATGCCCTTAAATGACGATTTTTTTTCTACCAAGTTTTGTGTTTTGGGCTAAATCTATAGAGGTTAGAGAAACTGTAGAAACAAATCAGCAATAGAGGATCAACAAAAAGAGATTAAATCATGAATTATATTCTAGTCTACAATGTTGGAGTGTGCCTATTGTTGAAGTTGCACATAGACCTAGGTAAGCGTCACAGGCTCTTATTGGCCACTAGTTTGTATACTGATAATAACATTACATGTATGTTACATTATAATACGTTATTTCGCTAACAGCAATCTCGCGTCATTCCGAAATTAACCTTCATTTCAAAATGAAATGTAACATTCATGATAACACGAGCTTCCACAATAAAGTGCACAGGTAAATAAACGAAAAACTTGATAGAAATCGTGTTTTCATGATCCTAGCAAAAAATGTATTTATAAGTATTGAATGCTTCTTTTAGTAATTTTATAGGGTTGTAAATAAAGGCAACAGTAGTATACCGCTGTTCGAAATGAAATGACCGTGCGCACATTTTTAGAATGAAGCGCTTCCGCGTTTCATACAAAATTTACTTGGGTCAATGCTTTTACACCCAAATAAACTTACAAAAAGAAGCATTCAGTTCTTAATTATTATAAGAGACACTATAAATTGAAATTAAGACTCACAAAGTCTGTTTGAATATTATCGTGTTTGATTTAGAAACCGTCATTTTCTTCCCAATATTGAAACATAGTTTTAGAACCTTTACTGTGTAAAAAATATCATGTAGGACAATTTTATTTTTTCGTCCGTTAGAGTACCTAAAGGTTTAGAAGATGTATCAAAGTACCCGTATCTGTTTGCGGAATTGGTAAGAAGAAACTGGACTGAAGAAGAATTGGGCAAGCTAGCTGGATTAAACCTTCTAAGAGTTCTTAGAAGGACGGAGGAGGTTGGTACATTTGGATTATAGCACAGCTAAGTATTAGAAACCGCAAGGGGGATAAGTAACAAGACATTCAAAAATGGGAGACAAGTTAAATGATTATATCAAGGTCTGTTTATAATTAAAAAGATCTGAAAAACTCTCCAAAAATGTCTGGCTTTAATTTGGTACGCATTTTGTGTATTTAAGACTCATTAGTGACAATCGAATCAAAATAGTTTAAAGACAAAATCAAATACGAAGTTGAAAAGCTTTGATAATCAAAGATTCCGTAAATTGTGCTAAATATGACAAAAAGATTATGAAGTCGGTTTACCAATTGTGAACTTCAATGTTTATGGCGTAACATTCCAACAGCACATGCATTTGAAGGTTATATACAACATTTGTTACAATATTCCAGAGCATCCGTTTCCTATCATGATTTCCTTGATAGAAGGTTGCTGCTTACAGGAAAGCTATTAAACAAAGGTTTCTTCGTGGCAAAGATGAATCATTTGTAGTATAAAGAATGATTTTGGAAAGAAATTCATCATAGATACCAGACTTAAAATTTTGTACACTGGACGCGCGTTTAGTCTTCAAAAGAGCCATCAGTGACATAAGTGATGCTCGAATAATAGAATGTGAATACAAGGCCAAACAAAGTCTACAAAGAGGATCTACAAATTATCATTTTATGTAGTCTGAAAAGATATGAGTAGTATAATAGAAGCAAAATTCATTTAGTACTTTTGTGGGGTGGATGCGGGACCGGAGATGTGACGTCATCCACCGGAAGTGAGGTAATACATGAAATGAGTATTGCACATGCGGATGATGTCACAATGTGATGACGCCACGGTTCAACTACCGCCTTTAACCCCCCCCCCCCCCCCAACACACACACATTCTAACTGAACTGTTCCTCTATACTAATGATATGGTCTTGAGATTCCTTTTCTCCTTATCTGTATTTTATGAAGTCAGATATGATTTGGTCTTGAGATTCCTCCAAATAAGACATGTGAAAATTTACCGATCAGAACAACGAATTACCTGTGTTTTCCATGTTTTCATCCGATCAGATAAAAGCAGATCTGGCAAGTCAAAGATAGCGATAATAATATGTTTTCCATTAAAGTTCAGTAGGATGCGGCATCATTACTGCCCACAAATTCCATCCGATGAACATGAAATTATATACTGTCAAACAATCCCAAAATCACAGCAAGTAATATGCACCAAAGATCGGATAATGACTATGCTATTACAAACGTAACATAAACAATCATATTCCTGTAAGATTACATATACGAAGCTTAGAAATTGTTTCGTCTCCATAAGACTCATCAATGGCGCTCGACCAAATAAGTTTGAAAGCCAAATTAAATGCAATATTAAAAAGCATTAAAAAAAACCATTCCAGAAATTGTGAATCTGAAGGTCGATTGATTTGTGGTTGCTTTTTGCCACCTCAGCGCAAAAAGGTTATATAGCAGCGATCTAAGGACATCTTTGCCGGGGGAAGAAAACCCTATAAGTGTTCAAATAATTCCGAAATTGTGTAAACAGAAAATTTATAGAAATTTACCCCATTGGTGGTATTTCAAGTGAACACAGAAGTGCTAGAATCTGGCCTGGTGATACCCTCCGGGACGTTGCGTCCAACAAAAGTGGCATCGACCTAGTGGTTGTAAAAAATCGTCGAAGACTCAAGGCTTATGATTTGTTTCGCCAGACATGCGTTTCGTCTAAATCTCAACAGTAGCTCTCGAATAAAATCAGTTTATAATATTGCAATTATAGGACATGTACAATGACCTTTTGTTAACTTCATCTGTTTTATAGGTGAGAGATGCACTAAAGTTCGAACAGCCACATGAAGATCTCTTACAAGGAACTGACAAGTAGCGTTTTTGATCTGATTATTCTCAGTAATTAAGTTATATCTCAGTTAAGGTGGCTCGGGTGTGTTCCTCCATCTTGGATTTTGAAGAAGCAGATAACAGTTGGTCTATATCTTTAATGAAGTGTGCAAATTTTGAGAGTAGTATGTAATTCATGTGTAAGACTTTTGATGTAAATATAGAAAATTATGTGTTTTATCATATTTACGGCTGTAATTTCTAAAAAAAAAACACCATATTTGTTTTTGATTCATTTTTTTTTTAACTTTGCTAAATAAGGGGAGATAACTCAAATAGTAGGGGAGATAACTTCGATATAGTAATTTTAAAATTGAAAGTGTTGTGAATTTACCAATTCAATATGTAACAAGAAAACAAGTTCGGTGACCCCATTTTTTTCTTTTTCTTATCTGAAAGCATGTTATAAGAGCTATCTTCTCACATTTTATCTTAAAATTCTATCAGGGAGTTTTCTTTTGATCATACAAAATTGGATTTTCCATGCATAATCTATACAAAATCTGACAATTTTGCACAACCTGTAGCGGGAAAAAAAGTCCGGTGACCCATACTTTTATCATATTTTTGAAAAAGGCTTGTAAAAAACTTCATTTTGACAAATTATCAAAAAATTCTATGGATTTTAATTAAGACGCCCCAGCCACCTTAATAAACATATATTGTGGTTACCCTTTTACCAAACCATTTGGGTCAAAATGCATCAATTTAATGATCTGCATTTAAAAGAACCCAGTTAATATAAATACCTGGTAGATTTGTGTCATATGTGAACAAGTAAGGAGCGTGTATATATGTATTTTTAAGAAATGAAACTTAGATATGTTTGTAAACTGATAAATATTAAACGCAGAAAAGTGTCTAGATTGTGAAAAAACAAAAGGGATATTAATGTTAGTTATAATAAGAAACGATTTATACAGAGGAACAGAAATAATATGTCATATACTTTATATCTAATAACTGTATATATGATAAAATCAGTATTATATATATTCTTGATTTGAGCAGTTTCAGTTGACTATCATCTCTGAAGACTTTCAGCAACATTATGTTCAACTACGTCTTTGTGTTCCATCGATACGGTTAACCTATAAACCTTGCTTTCGTTTGAGCATACTTGGCATAATAACTCAGTTAGCTTTGTCATCATTTGCGGTCCGTCGTAAACCTTTACAAATCACATCTCCTCCACTTAAACCATTTGACAATTAAACCAAACTTATAATCTCTTCTGATATTGTGTTGTTACACCACTGTCTCGGGGTCGTGGAGGGTTGAGCGCTCAGACATGTTTAACCCCCCAACTTTCTTTATGTGCCTACCCAAAGTCTGTAGCCTGTAATTCAGTTCATGGTTGTCTTTGGTTGCTGTCTGTTATATTTGTTTTTGTTTATTATATCGTCATAAATCAGACTTGAATTTTTTCACATTTTGTTCTGCAAATCCCTTTTAAATCTGATTATACGATATGATTTTGCTCATTGTTGAAGGCCATAGAGTGACATTAAGTTGCTTACATCAATGTTACACAGGTAAATCCTACCACATCTCCTTATCTTTATATCAATATTTTTAGAGTCTATTTTAGAAATCAAGAAACTAACGAAACTAGATAAATAACAAGAGACGATAAGACGATCTGAAACAAACTACAACAAGTAGCGAAACGAGTTGACTTAGTGAAGAGGGAGACAAATACGAAGTAAAGAGGGAGATAATATGGATTTTTCATGCTTCAATCAACAAAACTGTCTGTACTTGAAGTAGAAGACATAGGTGAAATATCAAGCATACCTAAATATTGTTAAGGTCAATTACTTAACAAATTTGAAACAAATAGTACATTCAAAAATTATAATGGGTGGCACTGAACAATTTGACAGCAACAGACGAAAAAATAACACAATTAACAAAGAAATTATGTATGATTGAAGACCCATTGGTGGCCTTCGGCTGTTGTCTGCTCCATGGTCGGGTTGTTGTCTCTTTGACACATTCCCCATTTCCATTCTCAATTTTATGAATCTATAATAAACAATATAAGGATTACCAGCTACTGAAAAAAATCGAATATTGAATAAAGGAAATCTGACAATTTCTGTAACTATCTTTCGTTTAACAATGTTAAGGTGGGACTTGACACAAACACCATTTGAAAAAAATTAATTATTCTAATCAGTTGTGACTTTAATGTTTTGTTACAAAGTTCTAAATCATAGATTAGAATGTTCAAGTGTGGATATTAAGCAATTTTAGACTTTGTATGTGATCAAGTTTTAACGAATCACAAATTCTTAAAAATATTCGATTCATAATATAACATTATACACGTTCCATACCATAACATATAAAAATAAGGAGATGTAGTATGATTGTCAATTGTCAAAGGTGTCTGAAAGGATTTTTAATGGACTACATCTGGCATTCTCATGCTCTATACACCTTTGTACGAGACCCAATTTATTATTATATAATTTATTATAATAATTGTCGAATCTTAGCTGATTATCATAGGCAAATAGCAATAAAGGTGGATTTCCGAAACTTTTCTGAATGAGTATTGTGTCCAGGTCATTGACCAATTCATAATAAATTCAAATGCAGTACCGTATGCATTATATCCTAGATATACTTCTCAAAAATTCAGTTTCACTGAACAGAGCAAAACTGTGAGATTGATTCTTACTAACGATTTTAGCATCAGTGAAATACATCTTTACCATGTTAAACATTTCTCTTTCATTTTGCAAAGCAATCTTTCAAACAACAGACACAGTATCGCCATTGCCGTTGGACGGAAACTGTCAGGAAATTGTTCAAGTCAAGCCCATTTTAACTCATTTGTATAGTTTGCTGTAAATGTTCATCCATTCGCCAGGTTTGGTGAGGGCCGGGGGTTAAAACACATGTTCAACCTAACCACATTATGAATGTGCCTGTCCTGTTGTCCAGTGTTTGTCATAGGATGCTGTCTTCTATATAAAAATAAGATGACGTGGTATGATTGCCAATGAGACAACTCTCCACCAAAGACCAAATGCCGTAGACGTTAACAACTTTATAGTTATTTTTCGTTTAAATCAGGTTTTTTTTTTTTTTTTTTCGTTGATAAAGGCCACAATATGACCTGTAGACGTCAAAATATCGACTTTTGGTCTTTGGTGGTTAGTTATTATCATATCTAAGTATTCATTTCACCCGGTTCCAAAAAATCATTCCCGCCGTTTTTGCCTGGTTGGGTAATTGATTTCGGGGCTATCAAATCCAAACGATGATTTTATCCATTTGATAAATATCGCCAAATATTGTTTTCCATTGAAACGAAACGTGATATCATCAGTCTTCAGAGAAATTCCCAAATTTAAAGGGTGATTCGTGTACGATTTCAAATGAATTTTCGGAAACACTTGATCTAATTGATATGTGACGTCATTGCTGCGTATCTTAGGGTTTGAGCTTAAGTTTAATAAAAAGTATTGGTAGTATATAACCATACCGACCATTCACAAGACGGGGTCTGCCATCACGTCCATGAAAGGTTCTTTGTTAAATACTTTTGAAAAATACTTTCCTTCTATAACTATAAGTTACAAAAAAACATAAACAAATTAAGATCTAAACAAGAGGGGCGAAAGATACCAGAGGGACAGTCAAACTCATAGATCGAAAATAAACTGACAACGCCATGGCTAAAAAATAATAAGACAAACAGACACATAATAGTACACAAGTCACAACATAGAAAACTAAAGACTAAGCAACACGAACCCCACCAATATATATGGCAATTCTTAGGATTTCTAAAAGCAGATCGTCACGTCTACCATGGACCATCCGTTAGTTACATTCATACAGGTTAACGATCCAACGATTCCCACAAATGATACATTCTTCAAATCGTGATGTAAGTCAAATTACGAAAATGTCTGTTCTTCAAATGCATGTCAGTGGGGTTTAAATCATGTAAATGATAGCTTTCACGTATGATTGACATATTCTTTATATTTACAATTGACCACAGTTTAAATGAAGTTCTAGTGTATTTTGAGTAAATTGCCAATATCCCTACTTCAAATCAAGAACGAAATAATATTGAATACATGGATAAATTATTTCTGGCTTAAATTGTTTTAATGAAATTAATTGTGCTAAAGTAATCTTTCAATGACTCCAATTATGCATAAGACCTATCTATGCGAGTAAGAAAAAAACACGTTGTTAAAAAATATATTTGAAAATTGAATACTCCCTACTTCCAAAGGATCGAAAGAAGTGTGTTTGAATTAAATTTACAAGTCAGTGATTATCTGGATTTGATAGATACGATATATATATATATATATATATATATATATACAAATTTTTATTTGGACGGTGATGCTCCTCTTGCCGCATCCTATGGCGTGTACATTCTAAACCCTTGTACGGTTTTACAGAATGTGTTCCAATGAAGCAGACATTAATTGACACAACATTGCACTTACACAAAAAATCCCAATACTTTCATAAGGTTACACATACCACATGTCACTGTCAGAAAAATTTACAGTCAGTAGTAGCATTGTTTTTGTAAATACATGTATACAATTTCTCGTAAAAATAATATAAGACGGTATTTCTCACTCTTCCTTTCATTGTTATGTCGTTATAAGAACTTAAACACTGAAAAATGATATATTTAACCTCGAAAACATTCTGAAATCGTTCAACAATAAAGACTACCTGCGTGATAGACTCAGTAATTAAGCAAACATGGTTGCGATAGTCTGACATTTCAAATAATTCCTGGCCTCTCAGAAATACTGCCGATTTTAATAAATTTTATGAGACTTCATAGAACCGGCTATGTTTGATTTCTGATTTTCTGATTTTAATCTTGAGCGGTAGTACTAGTATTCAACCAACAGCCATAGCAACTTCAACTAGCTTCCTGTAGTAGTAAGCACATTTTGACCACGCTTTCCAAATTATGTGCCGTTTTTTATTTCCTTGTTCAAGTTATTGGTTGTTTGTCTGTTTTACTGTAGGAGTCGGATGTTGGTGGATGGTGTGGTCTGTTGCACTGTGCAGTATATTTGGCTTTTCCTGTTATCCCGTTTAAGGTATTAGGAATCAAAAGGCTGAATTGCAATATTTGATGGGACTACTGATTCATACAATTAGCAAAACTACGAAAAATTTCCCTCTCCCGGGAGATATAAGCTAATAAAAAAATCTTCATAAAGATCATCCAAGAGTCAATAGATTGTTTGAGAGTTATTCAGTTGAAGTAAGTTGACCATCTCATATTGTGATAAAATCAAAAATAAGATTCTAATAATAAATGCGGTCTAAATTTTCTAAAATAATCGCTTGCAACATGTGGAAATAAACCTTGTATCCAATCTCCATTGAAACCAAAAAAGGTTGTGCTGCATAGAAAATAGCTAAAGGAAACTGAACAATGGTTTGTCCTCGATGAAAGAGTGAGAATCCATGGTCTGAAACAGAAGAAGCTGACCTGTTGATACAACTGGTACATACACTATTTAAAGATTACATAAAAAGAATAAGAACTCGTTGACGACTTATTTGTAGACGCACAGGAAAAGTCCTGCAGCCGGTTGTACGAACGTGTCATTAGTCTAATGAGTCATTAAGTCTTCATTAGCCTAATGCATCATAAAGGCTTCCCTTTGTGGTATGGTACCTTGCAGTACAATTGAAAGATAAAAGAAAATTTAGTCCTCTGTTCCCACAAAGATTGATATATGTCTGAGACTAAAATTGTAAAGTCAAGCAGATACTTCAGAGTAAATAAGAGAGATATTCAGGATAAAACAGCCCAAAGCCAACCCATAATTATATCTGATAGTAAAGGCAACTACATAAAGAGAGCTATTACAACTGAAGACTTCCTAAATATAAAATTTATCACAAA